GGGGGTAGTGAGAATCTGGGACTCGCGAATGATATCTCGTGACCCTGAAGTCTCGAAACTCAGCGATCGTGTCACTCGTCCATCAGACGCCATTACATCTCCATCCTCTTCGTCCTTCGCCTATCTGTCTGTCCATTCGGAAAGCTCGATTCTCCCCTAATTTGCATACAGTCATCTCCGCTAGGGAAGGGGATTGTGATGTCGTTTGCGCGTGTGGGAGCACAGTGATTGTACGTGTGGCCAGCAGCAAAGCTGTCTGAGCGGAAAGGTGATAGACTTAGGCCAAGGCTCTAATCTTTGAAAAAAGGTGAACATTATGTTGTTGTTGTTTTGTTGTTTTTTAAGCGAGCCTTTTTACGCCCCCTTCGGCACAATTTAGATAATTATGGGGATGGGCTTTCTACTTCTACCCTTGCTGTCAAGGCCAACCCTGTATTAGAGGATGTTTTAGCAGAATGATCCTCGATGAAAACATAAATGTTGTTCCCACTTGGGACTCGAACCCGGGTCTCATATTAATAATGGAGAATATTATAGGTGTTACTAAACAGTAACATACAAAGAAAATGAGCTTTAAAGACGACAGGTTTTTAATAGAAAAGAAGGAGCAAACTACACCAGAGAACCCACAAACTAACCACTCCTTTTCTTCATTCTTTCGTGTTGCTCTGTTCGGTCTTGTCAGTGGTCTAGTAGTTAAGCTGTTGGACTCGCAACCGAATGTCGTAGTTTCGAACTCCATCAGGGACCCGACGTTGTGTCCTTTGGAAGGGTGCTTTACACAATTAATGTTCCCCACTTTACTCAGGTGGGAATAGGTACCCGGCTATAGACAACGAAAGATCTTGTCCGTTTGTTAATGGTTAGTGTTTGAGGGCTTAAAGTAACTACCTACGTGCACTGTATACCTCCCGGGGAGCTGAGAATGTTTTAAAGTGTCTGTTGGGGAAATAGTTATTTTAAAGTGCTTAAAACGTGTCATAAAGCATTATTAATAATTATTGTTGTTGTTATAATTATTATTGTTGTTATTATTATTATTATTATGATGATGATTATTATTATCACTTTATCATTATCGTTATATTATTGTTGTTGCTATT